GGGTTTTCCAAAGTTAGGGGTACCTTTTGGGGGGGGCCCTATAATAAGAAGTATGTAGTATTTTGGCGTCTATATGGGGTCCCCTATTTTGGGAACGGCTACAATTTTACTTGGGTAACTTATTGGGAACATAGGGTTTAGAGTTTCAGGGTTCTAGGGGTTCTATAAAGTTATTTAGGGGTTCATCGTGTTTAGGGATAAGTGGAGAGTCAAACGGAAAGAAAAATGCAAAACTACATGCAAACTAGGGTTTGCTTTAAAGGATAAGGTAGGAACCCGAATCACGACCGCCCGATTTTATGGTCCCATACTTCTCGGTATGATCATAGTATAGGGTGCCTCAAATAGATCTTGGCACGATATCGGTAGTTCTTCAGGCTTCTACATTAATCTCCCTTTCAGGGTTAGGGTGATATAGGCGAAAAGAAAATTATGGAAGCTATTTGGAAACTACTGTATAGATTGGCCTTTTAGGGTTTATGATAACCCTTGAACCCCCTGACCCCTCACAATTAATACTTTCAATATGATACCATCATACCATATCGGGAAGGTTTCGTACCACCCTCGATTCGTGTGTTTCGGGCTTGGGTGTTTAGGGCCTAGGGTCTAGGGTTTGGGGTCGAGAGTTCGCAGTCTCAGGTTCCTTTATTTATAACCAGGGGCTGCTAAGCGGATCTGAAGGTGATCTTTAAGGCCTTGTGTCTTGCCTACCCACCACCCTCAAAAAGGAAGTCGCCCCAGCATATAATGATGCTACATTCTGCTATACGTTGTATGAGAATTTCTCAAGGTCATCCCCATATAACCCCCCATAAGGAACCCCATAACCCCCTATGATTCCTACATGTACCTTGTGGTCCCCAGACCCCCTTCTTCTTGAGAAGTTCCCATGTTGGGTGGTATTCGTGACAAGAGGGTGGGTAGGATGGATCATAAGCCCTAAACCCTAAACAACGTAGTTTCCATGTCCATTTCCGTTCCGATTTCCCTAAACTCCAAACCCTAAGCCTTCAAACTACAAACCCTAAGCCCTAAACCCAATATAGCCCTATCATAGCAGTTTCCATTTTCTTTTCCATTATCCCTATGCCGTATGATTTACTATAATAGGGTTGTGGGGGAAAGAGATCAGCCCTAAACCCTCAACCCTAAACCCTTAACCCTTAAACCCTAAACCCTAAACCCTTATCCCTAAACCCTAATCCCTGAACCCTAAACCCCTAAACCCCCTCAGGAGAAGCCGCGGGAGGCCTTGCTGGAGGTGGACTCCTACCAGGGCGAGGTGACCCAGGAGGAGGGGAGAAGCAGGTTTGGGGTTCTTTGTTCAGGGTTTTCGGGTTTAGGGTTCAAGGTTTAGGGTTTTGGGGTTTAGGACTTGCGGATCAAGAATTTTAGGGTTTAGGGTTCAGGGTTTAGGACTTGCGGTCTAGAATTTTAGGGTTAAGGGTTTAGGGTTTTGCGGTTAAGAATTTTAGGGTTCAGGGTCTAGGATTTAGGGTCCAGGGTTTAGGATTTGGGGTGTAGGGTTCAGGGTCGAGGATTTAGGGTTTTAGGATTTCGGGTTCAGAGTTTAAAATTTTCGGGGGATCCGTTGGAAGATTGGGAGTATGTGCCCCTGATAATGGGCACATAGCTTTTTGATGCTTTTTGTGGGCATTCTACGGGCCTTCAAGGGTGCAAAGGTCTATATGCAAGTTTTCTAAAGACCTCAAGATAACCAATAATAGGAGCCCATCAGTGGGGTTTCGGGTTTAGGGTCTGATTGGCTCTAGGGTTTGGTGTGTAAAGAGCTTACGGTTCAGGGACCTATGGAAGTTTCGGCTGTGTGCTGCACAAGGCGGGCAGGGGCATCCTGGTTGTAGGGACCTTGGAGCCGTAGGTTAGATGGAGAGTTTCCCAAAATGATTCCGACATGATCCATCAATGGGACCCCATGATCATCTTAGGGTAGGCTTTAGGGTTTGGGGTTAGAGAGTATGGGGATGCTCCAGAAAAATGCTAAAGGCTAACATGATCAGTTTGTCATGTTCCCCTATTAGCCTTCACGCTATACTAGCCGCCCCAAGTTCCCCCCCTCTCCCCCTTCAATTAGCCTTTATTAGCTCTAACTGTCCTTAATTTACCCAAATTAAGCGGGAAAGTTGCGGGGGAGTTTAGGGTTCATGATTTGTAAGGGTCTACATACGAGAACTTTGTCAGCTCCTTTGCCATATGCTTTGTCAACCTTTTGGTGGAGCGATGCAAAACATGCAGTGCTGGCGATGTCCCATTGCTGCGGAAGCATATGGGACAATATGTTCTTTCCCCCGTAGTTGCAAACCCGACCCCAAACCCCAAGCCTCGAACTCTACACACTTGACCCTAGACCTTAAACTCCACACCCTAAGCCTTAAACTCTAAATTTTGCACAGGAAGAGCCCGATGAGGTCGACCACCAGAGCGACACGCAAAGCTGGCACTGTCATGGCTTCTCCTGGGGCAAGGGGAAAGGTGGGGGAAAACAGGGATTTCTAGATGAGTTATAGGGACAAACCCCAGCCCTAAACCCTCAACCCTAGGGTTGAAATAGGGTTATATAGGGATTGTATGGGGATAATGGAAAAGAAACTGGAAACTATTATTTAGGGTTCTTTAGGCTTTAGGTTTTTGGGTTTTGGGCAGGGATCCTATGGCTGGTTTAAAGAGATTGTACACTCCCCCAAACTAACATGGAAACCCTTCTAGCCCCATTTCAGAGGGACTGTAGTATCTATAGGGCCCCTTTTTTGGGTTTCCATGTTAGTTTCCAGGAGTGTAACATCTGAAAGTGACGATCCATCAGCTTCCCGAAAGGAATTCTAGGGACATATTGGGATGTATAGGCCCTGAACCCTAAACCTACACTGGTAGTTTTAGGAGGCTCCTAGGTCAGGGTGCATCGAAACCTACAGTTTGGAGGGTCGTCAAAGTATGAAATAGAGGAATGCATTAAAACAGCGGAAGCTATTTTACGTAGTAGGTAGGTTTTAGGGATCTTTCAAAGGGATATGTAGGGATATATAGACTTCGCTGCTTAGAGGGACATAGTAGGCAGGATGGCAATGGGTATAAGCTGGAGTTGTCATATGGTTCTTGGCTGGCGGTTCTAAGTCTACTTGCTAAGTTCCTTGACTGCGCACGTTAGAATGTTGGAGAACTATCTAAACCCTAAACCCTGAACCCTAAAATTGAAAACCCGTTTTTATCACCTACATTCCTCGCAAGATTCCTCAAACTTGGCATTTTGGGGTCACGCTTTGGGGTGGGAAGTTTTGGTCCCTAAAGCAAGACTCCCTTCTTTTTTACCCCTGCGTGGGCTGATTTTATCCGTTGTGTTGCTCCAAAAGTGCAATCTTCACGGACATCATGATGTGGATGTTGCCCCCACTCCGCAACAGAGGGATATTAACGAAAGCCCTCAATAATCCCCCTCCATTATAAACTGTTACTCTGTGCGGGGCAGTATCCAACTCATAGTTATCTTTGGGGAGAGAGAAACTATAAACCCTAAAACCTGGCGGGTGAGAGTCTAGGGTGCGGATCTTAGGGTTCCTCAACTCCTCAACAATCCAGGGCCCCAACTTCCTAAACCTTGGCATTTCTGTTGGCAACGTTGGCGTACTATGTATTAAACATGACGGCTAGACCGCCAGAAGAGCTTTCCAAATCAGATATCCCTGCTTACTCCTTACATACATCCGGCAAGGGCTAAGTGTTTGACTTCAAACCGCAGTCGCCCATCTCATCCTTATGTGTTACCAATCTTCTGCTGTTGATGCTCAAAATTCTGCATGAGCTTAGTGTACTACAATACCATAGTTCCCTAGAAATACTACGCAGGTGGACGGTAAGGAGGCTAGTATGTTCCATAGTCTAAACCCTTAACCCTAAACCTGTAACCCTAAACCCTGATAGAAGCCCAAAAGCCGCAGGTGGCAAAGGCAAATGCAAAGGCGGAAAAGGCAAGTTCGGTTGGCGTGGTGGCTGGGGCCACCAGGGCCAGGCGCACCTCAGGGTTGTTTAGGATTCACTGGTTTTTAGGGACTTTAGGGGTTTATAGGGATTTCATGGTTTATAGGGTTTAGGGATTTAGGCTTTACAAGGTTTAGGGTTGATAGGGTTTAGGGTTGAGGGATTTTCGGGTTGATAGTGTTTGTAGGGTTTAGGAGCCGTCGCAGATAGCCTGGTGAATCTGGGACGGTGAGGTATAAGGGCTTCAAGGGGGGATAGGTGCATTATGTAGGGATGTAGAGGGTCCCTTTAAAGGGGATATAGGGGTTTTAGTAGAGGGCATTTAAGGGTGTTCTAGGGTCATCTTGGGATTATTTTTGCGGAGGACCCGATTGGGGATCTCTGTAGAGGACACTCGGAGAAGCCCCCCCATTTCAGAGTACAATGTGCGTTGCAGCGCCTGCTCGCAGGTGCTGAATAGTTCGAGTCATCTGCGGTGGCGTCGTGGTTGTTGTGGTCGTGTTACGACGACAACAGCAACATCATCATCAACAACGACAATAACCACGACGACGACGACGACGACGACGACGACGACAATCTGCTGCTGCTATTGCTACTACTGCTACAGCTACAGTTAGGCTACCGCTACTGCTGTCGCGGCTTCGACGACTACTGCATTTATGCGCCTGGCGGCCCAGCAAGAATGATGTCCTATTGCTAGGAACGATATCGGGTGGCAAGACTGATGCTCAAGACTCATTTTTGGCGGTGACCGTGATGATGATTAGGATGATGATCTTACTTGATATTTGATGGTCACCAAGGCATACCATTATGATAGTTCTTGTCCCTGCCGGGAGCCTATCATGGCAATCCTGCTCCCCATGAAGAACACAACAGAAGAAACATCATTGTAACGCACTAGGTGTAGTAGCACATCGGATGAACATCATTGTAACAGAAAATTGTTAAGGGCACAACCGCAACGTCATTATCGTAGGAAAGCACAAGAGCGTCATGACGTTGAGGACTTGCTGAATGTGGTTGTCTGCCACACGTCCGCATGACCTGAAACGGGCTTGCGATGAAAGCTTGTCATTGCTCGTTTTTTGGGCAGGGTCGCCCTATCCAAAACGGAGCGGTCACATGATTTTACCGGATGTTACATTCACGGCCCCTGCTAGCATTACAAACAAGTCAAGCAGGCGTGTGTCGTGTTCGTGGGGTCTTTCCCTGCCACGCACATACACTACTGCCAACTTGCAAGTATTGCCCAGATTTCTGTCGTTTCTATAGTTGACACAGCTGCCACCAGTACTAGACTTGTGCTGCCGGTACTAATACTAGTATTCGTTTGGTAGCAGGGGGTGTAGCACTACTAGCCATAGCAGGAAGTGGAGGTGGTGGCGGAGGAGGTCGTGGTGGGAACAGATGGATTAACATCCTATGCTGGGTGCAGAAAGCCTAGCCGCTGATCCTTGAACCTCCATCCCTAACCCTTATACTATACCCCAGTCCCTAAACCCTGATCACGCTTGACCACCCAAAATCTGAGAGGACCACCCCTGGTGGGCCTGGCGCGCCCACCGCCACTGGTCCAACGGCGAGCAAACGGAGTCCTGCCAGCAGGCAGCAGCCAATGTGACAAAATCAAAAATGAAATAGAAGCTGGGATTATACTGAAGTTTCTGGGGTTTCAGGTTTGAGGGCTTAGGTATGGTTGGTGTTGAAGGATTAGGCTGGAGGATTTTGGCTTTAGGGCTTGAGTTTGCGGCGGTGTAGTTGAGAGGAGGCGTTAGTTTTAGAAGCCCCCGTACGGGTTCAGAAAACCTTCTGAGGGGTTCAGGAACCCAGTCAAAGTTTATCCTTTAGAGCTGGGACGACTGCCATCTCGAGAAGGCGCATTTTGATCATCTCCAGGAGGGTGCTACTGATTTGAGTAGTATTTTATTTGGGGATACTATGTTATGGTACCCAATATAGAGTAAGATTCTATCCTCCTTTTGGGGTATAGTATTTTATATAAGGAGTATAATTCTACTGGGTTTAACCACCAAAAAAACACTACTCATTTGTGGAGGCAGCTTCAGGGAGTTTTGGGACATGCTTTCCTACGGTACTCAGACCCCCGGGCAAAAGTTGCTGCTCCTGAACCTGATTCCCGTGTTCCGCAAGGGCCAACAGGACAACCGAAGGAATCCAAGTCTGACACTTTTGGTCTTGGCAACCCTGCGGCGGTCATTTCCAACGAAAATCAAAATCCTAAACAGTAGACCCAAACCATGACTCAAGAACTCCCTGTGCTAGGCCTGAATCCGATTTTCAAGTGCCTTTGCATACCGTGACCCGCTGAGATTCACGGAGACCCCTCGCATCTGTCTTATCAAGATTCATGCCCAAAACCGTACACTCAAGCAATCCCTAAGTCTTAAACCTTAGAGAGAGGAGCATCCGTGGTGGGCTTGGCACGCCCAGCATTGGTCCTGCACCATGCCGAATTTATTGATTTCTTTGTTTTGATGGTGTGTTGTTTGTTCTTTTGTGAGGGTGGGTGTGCCACTGAGGAAGGGGGTGGGGAAGAGTTCAGTTTGGGGGTTCTTTCATAAGGGGGGGGATTGTAGAGTTATGTAGTTTATGATTGGTTATGTAAGGATATATGTAGGGCTTTATAGGCGTTATATGGTAATAATGGAGAAAAACATGGAAACTAGTATTTAGTGGGGCGGCTGAAAGTCCGGGGTGTAGAGGTTACCAGAGTTTCTGCGGCTTCAATACCCAAATCCTTAGAAAAGGCCTTTAATGTAGAAGCTTATATAGCCACATAACTACCAACATCACGGCCCTAGGTTCCTTGTAGACTTGTAGTAAAGGGTGCCTCGCAAACCTCGAAATGATGTATAACTGTTATTAACCCTAAACCCTAAACCGCGAATAGACGCTTGGTTTCAGCAAGGCCGACAAATCTGTTATATAGTCAGCCTTCCTGCACCCTAAACCCTAATCCCTACACCCAAGTCCCTAAACCCAAATCCCCAAACCCTAAACCCTGATCCCTAACAACAACGATACGCTGGCATTTTGAAGTAAAACGCGGTTTTGGTGGCACAGAACTCATCACTCCAGGCCTTGCTGTCATCATCTTCAACCTTCATCTTTGTCAACATGTCATTAACTCTAAACCCTCAATCCTGAACCCATACCCTAAACCCTAAACCCTGAACCCTAACCTCAAACCCTAAACCCTGAACCCCAATCTTAAACCCTAAACCTCGAACCCTAAACCCGAAACTCTAAATAGCCGAGGTGATGAGCCAGCAGAATCCGTGGCAGCGGCATTGTCCCCGCAGGCGCCAGAAGTCTGGCGGATAGACTGGTTTAGGGTTTAGGGATCAGGGTTCAGGATTTAGTGTTCACGGTTTAGGGTTAGGGTTCAGGGTTTAGGGTCGAGAGTTCAGGGTTCTGGGATTAGGGTTTAGGGTTCAGGGATTATGGTCTAGGGTTGAGGGTTTAGGGTTGAGGGCCTTAGGGTTTTGGGGTTTAGGGTTTATAGGGCTTAGGAGGACCCCCACCCTGTAATAATGGCATAGAATATACGAGGACCATTTTGATATCATCCTTTTTAGTCCATATAGTCATTATTATAGGGGTCACCTAATCTATGGATCGGGTTTTCGGGACTCGCAGGAACCTCCGACTCAATCAATACTGCAGATAAAGGGAATAATGGAAAAGAAAATGGAAACTACTGAATTATGTAGGGATTATATAGACGAGGTTATATTGGGGACAATGGAAAAGAGAATGGAAACTACTAAAATGGTTTCAGGGCATATAGAGCGTACGCGATGTGGAGTTCATTTTCTGGGTTTCCCATATTTGGACACGATTTGCCCAGCAATGATTTTATGATTTCCGGACCTGTATCACTGCCCAATGATGCCCAATCAAACGGGAAAGAAAATGGAAAATTAAATTAAACCTACTATTTACAACACAAGCCCTAATATACACAAGACTTATGAGGTGGACTCCAAAAAAGGATCCATACGTTTTGGAATCCCAGCCCTGAACCCTAAACCCTAAACCCTATATATCTCTATGTAATCCCATATAACCCCCGTAACGCCCCCTGGCACGCCTGATTGCATGACCTTCTGAAGCCGCCGGGACCCATTCGACCTTGCCACCAGTTTCACAGGCCTTGGCCAGTGCCGTGGTCTGCGCCCTTCCCCGCATCTTGGCCAAGGTCCGTGAACAGGCGCTTTGTTGGGGGCTGCATTGTAAACAAATTGTGTTCTGTCACGTAGGCCCGGGTTACATTATCCCTATATAACACCAATATATACCCTATTATAATAAAGTAGTAATATACTATATTTCACTTTTAGGGCGCAGGGTTGTTGGGTTTGCTATTATTAGCAACCGCCATCCGGTAAAGCACACCAGACCCTAGCCTATATGAGCCATAATCTAAACTTCTTGAATGGGGATTATATATGGGAGTAGTGAGTGGTATAGAGGTTATTAAGGAGGATACTAGCAGTTTAGACTAAAGCTCATATGTAGGCCTACGATATTATTGGGATTAGATAGGGGCTACTTGGATGCAACATTGTTGTGCGTTATACTCTTATATAAGGGGTACTATGAGGGGCCTTTGCGCTAAACCTTAAATCATAGTTTCCATTTATTTCTTTTCCATTATCTCCATATATCCCTAGATATCCCTATTTAAGTAGATATAACCCTATAGAGCCCTGTGTAACCCCCATACACAGGCCTCTACTTTTTCATAATCTCCAAAATCGAAGCTTGAGCCAGGCGTGCGGGCGACCATGTTGAGTCAGAATTCACCATATAACAGGGTTATACAGGGTTATACAGTGTTAAAAAGGGTTCTACAAGGGTCATATAGGGTTCTATAAGGTTATATAGGGTTGTAAGGGTCCTATGGGGATATATAGGGATAATGGAAAAGAACATGAAACTACTGTTTGGGGTTTAGGGCTTAGGGCTTAGTACCTAAGCCCTCCCGGGCATCCGCCTGCTGCGCAGGCGCCGGAAGCTATTGGCCAGCGCCTGGGAAGCACTGACCTGGGCCAGCTCAGAAGGATTAGGGCTCAGGGTGTAGGGTTTAAGGTCGAGCGTGTCAGGTTTAGGGCGTGAGTATAGGGTGTAGGGGGCAGCTCCCTCTACATCTCATGGGCTGCCACGCAGTTTCCATGAGGGTTCACGTTTCTGCGTAGCATGCATGGCAACAGTTCTCAATGCTTAGCATGTCGCTGTTCAAATGTCGTTGCGCCAGGAGCCTAAGTTTTGCCACATACCGGCCTTAGCCAAACGATAGTCCGTAAACATTGTGATCGCAACAGCAGCACAAACACGTGGGGCAAACGCCCGGTGTTAGCATGGTGGAGCCGGGGATGGAGTGCAGCCTGCCTGTGGTTTTCACCGTAAGTAACCCTAAGCCTTCCCTTGGAGCCCCCTCCCCTTTCTGGCCCCTCCTCTGTCCAAAAACTGGGTTGCTGTTGAGGAACTTGAGTTTTGTTACTACAATGAGGAAACGGTATTGTTTACTGTCTAGCCATAATATGGTAGCTAACTTTAAGCTCCTGGACAGCAAGCCAGTTTAAGGTTTCGACAGGATCTCGCAGGCTGGGCAGAGGTTTTTTGTTAGTGCCATGCCTCAAACAGTTCTTGGCAAGTATAAAGCGGCTTTGTGCCAAATCATGACGCAGGAATCTTGCTTACTGCCCGGCTGCCCGGTCCTGGCTTCGAGAATACTGTCAGCCAGGCTTTTGCTGTCATAGTCCCGCGTAAGTAGATAGAATATTGAGTATATGGGGACCTTCTTATAATAGACCCAAAGCCATATTCTATCTACTTGAGGGGGACTGTAGGGTTTCCGCCCGGCGCTCAATCTATTCATAGCAGTTCTGGCGAGACGAGCTAAGGCTTGGACGGATCTTCTCCGGACCGCCCGCACGCATAATCCCTGACTGCTACCTGAGCTCGCCCAAACCCAGCTACTATTGCTAGTAAGTATTACTGTTACTGCTACTATTACTATTATTACTACTGTTGATGGAGGAAATATTATTGCACCACCTTAAGTCCCCAAAGTCCCATGAATTATAGTAGTTTAGGGACCCTAGGTGGTGCAAGATTTCATCCATCAACAGTATTATTACTATTGAAATACTATTCAATTACTATCAAATTACCATGAACTTGCTATCGTTACTATTATCTACCCTTGAAACCATCAGCAGTGTATCTTGAAAGCCAAGAAATCATGGAGTAGCCCAGGCCTCTCTGCGCAGCATGGAGCCTCGGCTCTCAAGAGGCTTTAGTCTTTGAGACTTAGGGTTTAGGGTTTAGCGCTTAGGGTTTAGGGCTTGGTGTTTAGGGTTTAGGGCTTGGTGTTTAGGGATTGGGGTTTAGGGCTTGGGGTTTAGGGCTGGGGGTTTAGGGGTTGGTCGGATTACATTCCTCAGGATTTGTAAGGGGCAAGGTAGGGTGGTGTGGATGGCTCCAGACTCTAAAACCCTAAACCCTAAACCGCGTAAACACCCCTAAGCACTACCTTGGGCTCAGAACCAAAGCTTCATCCCTAAACCCTAATCCCTAAACCCTAAGTCCTAAACCCTAAATCCTAAACCCCTAAATCCTAGACCCTAAACGTTTAAGGAACTTCTTGCCGGCCGTGGGAGAAGCCCTGCAGGCGGCCGCCGCAGGGTGCGGGGATTCGGGCTGATGGTTCAGGTCTAGGGTTTAGGTTTCAGGGTTCAGGGCTTAGGAAGAGTTTTAGGACACCGAGTTCAAGGTTTAGAGTTTAGGGCTGGGATTTATGTAGCTTCAGAGTTTAGCGTTTGTTCCCCCATCTCAGCAAGAGATGGTCTTAAAGAGCTTAATATGTGGCTTGCACAATGGCTCAGGTCCAGCTTCAAACCCACTTTCGGGTCTAGGCTCAGTCCTTAAACCTAGAAATCTAAACTTGGACCTTAATCCTAGACCCCTAGGCCTGGACCATGGGCCTTGAATCCTAAACCTCAAGCCTCTAGGCCCAAACCGAAACTCGAAGCCGTAAACCTTGGGTTTAGGGTTTTGGGTTTAGACCTTTCAACCCTAAATCCTAAACCTTAAACTGTGCACCTCGAGGAGCTTTGGTCCCTGCTGGGCCGCAACAAGCTGCAGTAGCTGGGCTTGCTTTCAAGCCATGAGCCCAATGCCATTTACAGTTTTTAGGGTTCAGGTCTAGGTTCTAAGTCTCAAGGTCCCGATGCCCCTTAATCTTTTTTATGTTGTAGACGCCACCCGCCCCTGGTATTAGACATTTCCCAAAAGAGACCCTACATATTGGGGACACCTTCAATACCAGGGGTAGGGAGGGTGTCTGATTTTAGGAATCAGGGTTTAGGGAGGGAGTCGTCGGAGCACATGCGAACTTTCAGATCTGATGCTTGAAAAAGCGTCAGCTCAGCGTGGGGGTGTGAGCCATAGAATGCTACCTAGCTGAAAATGCATGTTTAGACTGGATCTTAAGAGTTCCTCGTGCTTGAGCAGACTCCAGACATAACGGGTCGAGGGCTTGGGTGGTGAGAATGTATGAAGACCCGTTTAAAGCGTTTCATTTATTTTTTCCTAAGTCAGGACTTCACAATTTGAGGATGACTCGAGGATGAGTCTAGGTTCGTGTAGGGTTCTGGGCTTAGGTCTTGGGATGGTCGGGCTGATATGAGGGCTTTAGTCACCTTACAAGATAGCCCTTAAAGATAGGGTACCGCAATAGTCATGTGTTAATATGGTCCCTACTATAAGATTTGGGGCTATGAAGTACGCGGCATCACCCTAAACCTTGTTATGGACACATGATCTGAGTCTGGATGGCTTTTAGGTTCGAGGATCGGGCTGATCTGGGCTTTTGTCAAGCCAGGTGTCGTTCTTGCGTATTTCCGCAAAAAAGATCCACGATTTTGAGACGCGTGTGTGCGCGTTTTATGTGTTTGCGTGTTTATGGTGCTTAGGATGCTGTACCACTTCCTCACTGAGTGACCTTTCCTCCCCTAGATGATACCGCCCGAGTGGGTCAGGGATTCCTCAAATTTATGTCGGGGTTTAGGGTTTAGGCGGTTGCGTGAGTTTTGGAGATTTCGTTGTCTGGCAACACTTCCCCAACATCTTGCTGCTTCGTAGTAGGGAACGGATACAATCGGCCAAAATATGGCTCCTTTTCTTCGCTCTACCAGCAACCACAAAGAAATCTGAATCCAATCGCCACGCACTCCGAGATTTTTACAATCGCCACGAAATGCGAGACTTTTACACCACGGATCGGCAAGCATTGCTATTAGTATTGCTCCCCAGGAAGGGCATTGTAGTGTATTGGGATTAACTCAGGGCGACCCCCATTTTGAAATGCCCATATTCTTATCTCTAACAGCATTGATTGCGCATTTCAGTTGCTGTGGCCTGCGATTATCATCCTCATGGTTTGATAATCACCGTTTGCCAGTGCTTGCATATCTGCGGCGCTGAGGAAAGCTGAGGAGCACTTGGCACGATTCCTGGCTGAGGCAGGAGCCGTGTACGGGCTTCCCAATGTAGATGTAGGCTAGATCCTGGCAGTAAACCCTAAACCCTAAACCTTGGGTTGTAAGGTCTAGGGTTTCGAGGTAGGTTCCAACACCAGCATGTTTTCGCGCCTTTGCACCCTCTAAACCCTAAATCCTAAAAGCTTATGCGTAAATCGTGGGCCTGGCTTGGATCTTTTTGCCGTGATCCCCCCGCCTCGATCTTCCTTCCCGTACCAAAACCCCCCCCCACGCCCCGTATAACAAACTCCCCAGCGTAGTACCATTATATCTTGAGGGAACGTTTATTATTCGTGGGGTGGGCGGTCTACTTGCAGGGGGGAGAATCTCACCTGGTACAGCCTATGTATAACCTTAGTTTCGACTTCATTTTCCATTCGAGTCTCCATTCTATCCCTGAACATTATGTACCTCATATACCCCTACATGGTCTTATATAACCTTTAATCAGGTGATGGTTTGCTATTAGGGTCCTTGATGGCAGGTATTGATCCCTAGAAGCCCCAAACGCTAAACTCTAAACCCCAAAGTCCAAGCCCTAAACCCCAGACTTTAGACCTTAAACCGTACTTTGAACCCTAAACCCTAAAACCCTTCAAGCTGCAACTTGCGGATCCCCGCAGGGAGTAACTTTCTTGGTGTTCTTGGGAGGATATATTAGGTTATAGGGGTTAGAATATAGAGATATGGAGTTAATGTTTAGGGCTTAGGGTTCAAAATATAGCCAGCTACGGGGCTTTGTGGGTTTACGGGTTTAAGGCTGTCAAAACTGTGGTCCTTTCTCAAGCAACCTTGTTCTTCCCCGTCCCCATACCTGCATATCCCTGTGCTCTAAGAGGACTGACCTTGCCCGGCTTGCCAACCGGAAGCCCGAAACCAATAATGTAGACCCCTAATTAATGGAACCGCTCCCCTTAATAAGGACTCTAATGGGGATCCTAATACTAAGGCCCGTAAAAGGAGGGGGATTATTTATCAAAGGTTTACATTAGTTGCTCTTATGGAGCTGCTGTCAATATTTGCGTTACCAAGAGACCATTCAGGGTGGACATAGGGGTCCCTCCTGTAATCTAGTATAGTCCTTAATAAAGAACCCCCTGTCCATTAGTTCTCTGAAAAATATTGACTGTCGCTCTTATGACAGGGCAACATGAAGCCAGGGTCACCCTACACCCTAAACCAGGTGACCCCTTCAAATGCGGGACACTTCTTGCTGTCCTTCTTCACCGAGTTGGAGGCAGACGGTCACGGTACGTTGGGTTTGAGGTTTTGAAGTTGTTGAGGTTTCCAGGCTTCGAGGTGCTTCAGGTGTGGACAAAGTCCTAACGTGTTCATGGACAAAGATTCGTACATGTAGTTATTACCTTTCGAATTTGAAATGGTTCATGAGAGTTGTGGAATCCGCCGCCCAGAGAAGGATTCCCGCGAAACGAAGGCGTGATTTTTGTAGAAGCCTGTCCAATATTATTTGTTTACAATTATTCGTGTCACCTTTCCTACTAAGCCCCAATGTATATCCTATTATAAATTATAAAGCAGTAGTCTCATTTTTCCCTTCCTTTATCCCTAGACAATCCCTGTATGATATATTCTAGTGATGAAGGTCCTTACCTTCAACCCTTGGTTCCTACAAGTTAGGTCCTTGGACCTGCACTTCAGAATTCTCCAGTTTGCCGAAGGGTCGGTGGGTCAACTGGGCCCTTGCGCAGGCGCAGCCCTAACCCTGCTGCGCAAGGTCTCAGTTGCGCGCGCAGCCCCACCCATTGGGTGGGCATGGAGAAATCCACGACACGACAAAACCGACCATTAGCTTATATACACCCTGGATCCCAAACCTAAGCCCCAATCTCAAGCTCTTTATCAGGCCTTGGGCTTCGACGAGAAGCTGCAGTTGTTGGCAACATTCTTCGAGTCCCAACATGATCGCCTGCGAAAGATCCTGCAAAGGCGCGGGAGGAGCGTGATCCTATTCTTCCCACCTCCTTTCTCTCGTCCTCCTCCTCCTCCTCCTCCTCCGCTGTGTTTGCCGAGCATTGGTAGACTTCTTGTATCCGCCCCAAGGAAGGACCCATGACTTCGAGAAACCACACGATCGAGCGATTGTAGAAGCCTGCATATCTATCAGCATTATCGGTCCCGGAGCCAACGCAAAATTGTGGTATCGTGTACTTCGAATACACCTGAAATTAATGTTGGTAAGTATCTTAGGCCAGGGCAGTACTGGCACAATTCTGAATAATACTAAGTACTAACAGGTGGACAGCAAGTTTCTCCTGGTAACGTAGCTGGATTCCAGGCATGTTTCGCAAGAAAATTCCAGGTCCAGCACCCAGACCTTAAATCCTGACGTCCCATAATGAGCTAATAATTTGGTCTTCAGTGCAGTTCCTGCTGCAATTTCGTTGCTCTGGGGGCACTCCTAGGATGTTAATGTTTTGCTCATGAGGGGCTATAATCCTCATATGCGCTATAGTCTAAACTCCTTGAAGGGGGCTAGATTATTGGGGACTACTATTAGGGATATTCAGGATACTAGGAGTTTTTACGATAGCTCATACTACTTTATAAAGCCATAAGAACTACATGTTGACAGGGCCCCTAAATCTATCCCAATACTCTCAAGTTGCACTTGCACGAGGTTGGAGGACCGGCTGCCATTCCTACCTGGCCTGTTGGTGCATCACGGCGTAGCTGGGCCATTGTTGGACGTGGAATGTTGGGTTGAGGAATGCTAAGCTCTAAACCCCCAAACCCTGAACCCTAGCCCTGTTACTACCCCACGCAGAACCAAGGCTTTAGGAGAAACCAAAATTCAAGATTTTTCATGCGTGGCCACTATTTGTTGAACTCCGGTACTTAACCTAAAGTTTTTCTGCCGGAGTGGCCTAGTTTCAACCCTGAAAAACGCATGGTTTATTCATGACGTTGAGAATAATGAGAGGAGGTTGGGATCCCCAACCAACAGGGTTTAGGGTTTAGAGTTTGGAGTATAGTAAGGGGCCTGGACATATCATAGAACTGTTGAAGAGTCCCTATCCTGGAGTTTCTGGTTAGCAAAATGCGCTGATAATTCCTAAACATCCCCTCATTATATATTCCGTACATAAACCCTACGACCCCTTTGAAAGCCAAAATCCCTGAGCCCTAGCCCGAAACCTTAAACCCCAAACCCTACACCCTGAACTCTAAACCAGATTGGACAATGGCGCAGGTAACCTGTGACGGCTGTGGCGCGAATCCTATCCTTGGCCCTCGATTCAAATGCCAGACGTGTCCGGACTATGACTCTTGATGTCAAGGCTTAACGGTTTTAGGATTCAGGGTTTAGGGTTCGAGGATCTCAAGGTTTTAAGGTGTTGGGTTTTAAGGGCTTTAGGGTATGGGGTTGGAGGAGTTTTGCGCTTTTGGATGGTTTTCGGGCCTAGGGTTTGGAGTTTAGAGTTTTTGGGTTGGAGGGTTTTTAGCCTCCAGGGTACTTTTGGGGGTTTTCTTTATATTTATATATACAGGATTGTAGTGGGGGTAGAATGTATACAAGCTCGAAGGATAGAATGGATAGTCAAACCTGAAAACAAGTGGAAGAGAAACTGGTAAATCAAAAGGAAGCTAGGCGTATAGAATTTGCAAGGGATTCGAAGTGGAGCCATAAAATTTAGAACGGGATTTTGGGACATATGGTTATTTGAAAAGTTTACACCGAATCCTAAACCTTCAGCCCAGAGGAACAGCATTGGTAACTAGTCGGGCTGCCGTTTTAGTTTCCAAAATTTCTGGTTCTTATTCCCCTCAATCAGTAGGGAATGAGGGATAGAATCCTCACATATTCCTGCTGCAGCTCATTCCCTTATTCCCTGCTAAGAACCAGTAGTATTGGGCCCTTCATTGGTACACCCAGGTTTCAGGGTGCCATGCTCGTGTGGCCCTACCCTAAACTCAAGACTTCTTGATCAGATTTAGTGTGCCTCTGTCGGTTTCGGGGACCGCGACTCTTTTGTCGAAGAGTTTAGAGGCTTGGTTTTAGAGTTTAACTTCTCCAGCTTGGACACATTCTCTGGGGCCCCCATAACTGCAACAAGATTATTGTCGGGGGGTAGATTTGGCCTCATAGGTTGTAGGGGATTCATGGAGTGTAGTTGCGAGTTTGCAATAGTAGCAGGACTAGTGAATACATGGATGGTTGGCATAACGGATAGCATTTCAAATTTATAGGTTTTCCTGAAATGGGGATCACCCTTGTAACTCGTTTTAACCCTAAACCCTAAACCCCTTGAAACTCCAAAAAGTGACCTCTGACTTTCCGAACCCGCGTGTAGCTGAGGACCTCTGCGGCGCATGCTACGCAAGGAAACTGGGCTTCTGTTAACAAACTTAAATCAAGTTATGAGGATGGGTACCTGTAGTAAAATGTAGGGGTTTCCCCAACATGTAACTTAAACTAAGTTCCTAAACCGTAAGCCCTATATATCCCTATATGCCCCGATTACAGTTACCCCCTCTTATATACCCTTATTATAGTTCCTTGCATTAAGTCCCTCATCACTAAACCCTGTACCCTATACCCGAAACCTTAAGCCCTATACCCTCATTATGTCAACTTAGATTAGTTCCTTGACAGCCCTAAATCCTATACCATAAACCCTATATAAGCCTATTGTAGCTACTTCCTATATACCCTTATTTATTATGGTAACTTAAAGTAAGTTCCATAACACTAAACCGTGTACCCTAAACCTAAAACCCTAAACCCTAAATAGCCCCTTTATAGTAGTTTCCATTTTATTTTCCATTATCCCCACCCTAAACCCTAAACCCTAAACCCTAAACCCTAAACCTAAGTTCCTTAACAGCAACCCAGAAAGACGGAGCTCCATCTCGGCAAGTGCGCCTCGCACGACTTCGAATGCAAGATGTCGGAGGCCATGGCGCTCACCCTATAGGGTTTAGGGTTTTAGGTTTTAGGGGTTTAGGGATTTAGGGATTTAGGGTTTTAGGGTTTTAGGCTTTTAGGGTTTAGGGTTTAAGGGTTTTAGGGTTTGAGGCCATGTGCTCTTCCTTTGCCTTCACTCACCCTTTTTGGGGCTTTCCTATCCGTTTCCCTCAAAAGCACCAAAAGTAGGAGCCAAAGAAAGTCTACTTGAACAATGTAAGGGATAATGGAGAGAAAATGGAAACTACTAGATGGGGTTATATAGGGCTTAGGGTTTAGGGTCATATAAGTCTACTTGAGGCTTTCGTAAAATTAAGGGTGCCCTTTTGGCGGCCTTGTTTTTAAATAGTCCGGACCAAGGGAGCTTGGGGGCAAAAGCGCGGTAGTAGGAGAACCCATGAGAGGCCACGCACCGTTTGCACATGAAGCTCATGGCGCACGCGTCCAAGGCGTGTGGTCCCTTGGCATTGGTGTTGAGCATGTGCCTGGGTTGGCCGTCAGTATGCTTTTGTATTTCCCTGACTGATTTTAAAAAGAGCCTCGTAGACCTCATATCCTTATATCTCCCCTTCAAAGGAACCCATTACGCCATATGAGCTATTTTCTTAACTCCCAGTACCCCCTTAATAAGCCCTATAATAGGAGCCCTATATAATCCCCTATATAACTAACCCCCTTCAAGGAGTTTAGACTCTAGCTCATATTCCCCTATGAGCCTCTACTACTGCTTTGTCCAAGGGCTCCAAGAGCCCACCCAGGTTCGGACAAGGCCAGAAGGGCAAAGGAAAGGCGAAGGGCAAGGGCAAGTGGCTGGCTTGCTTTCAGGGAACGGTTTTTGAGATACTAGAACAGTTAACTTGAATGGAATTTCTGTAGGGTTTTAGGTTTAAGGTTGCTATAATGAGAAACCCAGTATTTACTGGATATTCATATCATGGTAACTTAACTTAAGTTTCTTCAAAGCAACAAGGTGCGCGGCTGCAGAGGTTGTCCCAGAAAAAAGCAGCTCCAACCCTGGTAACTGGGCTGTTGCTAAGGAACTTCAGCTGATTTACCACAATGTGGATATATATATATATATTATAAGCAAAAACGGTCTTCTTGGTTGCGGTAACTTAACTTGCTTGTGGTAAGGGCATATAACCCCTATATAATCCATAATATATTCCTGTATTCCCTGCTAACCACCTGTAAGCATAGTATCCTTTTATATATATATATATACATATTTTCTAAACCCTAAACCATATAACTTAACCCTAGTATACTATAGTAGTTTCCATTTCCATTTTCTTTTCCAGTACTCCCTACTTACCCACAGTAAGCCTCAAACCCTTAAACAAAAACGTTGGGATCCTAAATCCCCAACCCTAAACCCTCAACCCTAAATCCTAAAACCTATATTATCCTAAGCCTTAAGCCCTAAACCCTAAGTCCTAAACCCAAAGCCCTAAGTCCTAAATCCTAAGCCCTAACCTTTATGCCCTAAACCCTACTCCCGAAGTCTTAAATTATCATAAATCCCAAACCCTAAACCCTACGCCCTAAGCCCTTTGGAGCTGTTGAGTATTGGATGGAAGAACACCTAAGCAACATGTGCTGAGAGTGAGCTGTGTTCTCGGCCGGACAGGAGTCGTTTTCGCGCAGGCGGAAAATGGCCGTAGTAAAAGAAAAAGCTTAAGCCCTAAATCCTAAACCCTAAATACTAAACCTTAAACGTTGAGTCCTAAATCCTAAACCCAACCCTAAACCTTAAACCCTTAACTGCAACCCAGGCACACAGGCCTCCTGCGCCACACCAGGCTGCAACTACCAGCCGACCTGGCATAGCGAGTACCTTACCAGTGGTTAGTAGGCAATAAGAGTGTGTGTATATTTCTATGTGTGTGTACATAGGGTTTAGGGTTTAGGGTTAATAGTGCAGGGTTTAGGGTGAGAAGGGAGTAAGGGAATATGTCACATAGGTTTTAGGTTTAGTAGGGAGTAACGGAATATGTTCCCAACTAACCACCAGTGAGGTACTGCTGCAAGGCTTGCAAAAAGGGCTGTGGTGCCCATGGACCCCGCTGCGACAAGGTGGAGGTTTTCAAAAACTAGCGCCCCCTTTTTGGGAGTTCCTATAATGCGTATAGCATGTTGAGGTCCATAATGGAGCCCCGTCTTCATGTAAATCTTGAAGCTGTAGTAGAAGGGGAGCAAAACTGCGGTCCAGAAGCTCCCAGGTCAGCAATGAGGATTCCGACAGGGCCGCGGCCCTCAACGCCAAGCAGGATGCAAAGGATCACACAAGCAGCGAGGACTCCGATAGCAAGACCGCGCCGGCGCAAGGTCCTCTGAGGTTGAAACCGTGGGTCGCTAGTATGGGCCCTTAACCCTGGGTTCCTTATCATCCTTGAAATACCTCCTGTATACCCTATATGCGCCCTTAAGGGTCCTTTGAGTCCCCCTAAAAAGGCGTGAGGGCCCATATTAGGGGCCCATAATTGAAACCTTAGAAAGGTAAGCGCTGCGCCACGGAGGGTTGCCAGTATGAAGCCACACGCGGCGACCACTGCTGTAAGGCATGCGCCACTTACCTGTCTAGTTGTTAACGTTTAACCTTTCTTCGGATAATATAAGCCAGAGTCTAAACTCCTCAAGGGGGTCATAGAGGGGATTATAAGAGGAATATGATTGGGCTTATGAGGGGGGATACAACTTATAGAGCACCCAGTATGACCAAGAAGATTACTGTCAACGTGTGCAAGCCCTAGATGGACACCTGAGGAGAAGGGCAAGCGTTGTGGCCATGGCCAGCGCTGCCAACACGTGATCTTCAAAGGTGAGCCTGTGGTTATGTGCAAGTGGGAGGCTGCCAAGCCTTGTGTTGCATTGCCCGACAGCAGTGAGGATTCCGACAGCAAGGCCATGGATGCAAAAGCCAAGCGCTGTGCCACGGAGGGTTGCCTTTACGAGGCTACCAAGGGTGAGTATTGCTGCGGGGCATGCGCCAAGGGCAAGCGCTGCGGTCACGGCCGGCACTGCGAGCACACTCTGTTCAAAGGCAACGAGCCCGAGATCAAGAAGGTGGCCTGCAAGCCATGCGCTGCCTCCGGATGCAATTATCAGGCAGGGCTTGCTGGGTGGTGCTGGGGACTTGACAAACCTCTGCGAGTAGTCAGGTCATATTGTCCTGAACATCTTCTCAGGGGATTGCGCCTTGAAATCCCTGTAGAGCCATACAATGTTAATCTTAATTGCGCCCCCAAATCAGCTAAGAAATGTTGCTTGCATCGACTTATGTTATTTGCAAAAAGCGGCTAGAACCTGCGCTGTTGTTTGGCCTCGACCTCAAACCGCAAGCCCTGACTGACGATCCTGAGTCTTGACCTTCTACATTCCCAAGGGGCAGCCTGAAAACAAATTCCCCCTAGTTGGACCGCATTCCCAAAAATTGAGCTTGCAAACGTTTGGAGATTTCTCCATAAAAGTCCTCTGTCTGTGAATGAACCCCGGAGGCTGCAGTAGTAGCTACTAAAAGCAAGTGTCTCAATTAAAAATCATTGTTTTGGAGTATAGGAAATATAGGTACCCAATGGGGTAATATTGGGGTTATATTGGAATAATGGAAAATAAAATGGAAACTATAGCGTCCACATCGATTTTGGGGGTCCGGAAGGATCGCCGATTTTGAGAGACCTCCGATTGCCAAGCAACGCTTTAGCTGTAAGTTCATAAGCAACCTACATGGGCCGTAGTTTCCATTTCATTTTCCCCCTGTGATTTTTCATCTGGGTTCTCCATGATATCCCTAAACTCTGTAAAATCGCAATGTCCATGTAAAACGGTACAACCTCAGTGTACCCCGATGTAACCCTATATAACCCTATATAATCCCGATGTAACCCTATGTAACACCAATGTAAGCCCAATGTAACCCTACATTATAACCCCAATGTAAACCCCATAACCCTCAGGTGACTTGGCATGAAACCCATTGCTGCTATGCTTGCGAAGCCCATGGGCCGTCCGCTCATGGTCCCCACTGTGAGAAGGTGGAGCAGTAGAGCCACGATCTTTAAGCCAGAGTGGTGGCGTCTCAATTTTTCGCTTCGCATTCTTCGCGTGAGGTCTTAGTTTCAGGCTTTAGGCACATGACGTTATTTGAGAAGCCACCCCACGAGATTTCGTAGTCCGCAAAGAGGTTGTGAGAGGCGTAGTGCGTTGGCCGGCGAATGCCCTGAGAAGAGTGACAGGGAACAGGTCGTCCTTGGGGCAAAGAGTCGGCGGCCTTGCGGAGCCCAAACCTTTTAAGCGGCGAGCAGCAGGCATTTGTGTTCACAGGCCTGGGTGCAAAAAGAGTTCTTTGTGCTTGCTCTGCTGTGCGGCTATCTCAGTGTTTACCATGACCATGGTTCAGTTTTGCAGTCCTGCATTAAGCCATACCACGGTTCGGGAGTGGCACAGAACGTTGGCTCCCCTCCGAAACTTGGCTTACTCCATGCATGGTTTTTGTATCTATCTAGCTTCTGTACTAATGTATTTGTATTGAGGCTCTGTAGGTTCTGGAAGCATGTGCTGATAAGACGCAGAGGATGTTCAGGACTAGCTGAAGAGATGGATCATTTTCCGCAGCAACTATCAGCCGCCCAGCCTCTTAACACCAGATAACCCGTTAGTGGACATTGCCTCCAACTCCTCCCATTATATGGCGGTATTATACTGGGTGTATTTATTGTTGGGAGAGTGGGGTGGGCCCTAAACCCTAAATGCGCTGAACCCTAAAAGGATTTGCCACTGCAGCTGTGGCTTTGCGGTGGCTGGGCCAAAATCCCTAGCATGGCTCCCCATATAAACCCATAGTTAAAGGGCCACCCTCTGGATCATTGTTGAAACCAAGCTTTAACTTTCGGCAACCCAGTAGGAAATACAAAGTTGCCTTGTTCAAGTAGGCCTCAATACAGACCCAGTGGCAGGTTCCTCCCCACACCCTAAACCCCATTCCTCGAACCCTAAACCCTTATCGGCCTAACCCCTAAGCCCTAAGCCCTACACCCTAATCCCTAAACTCGAAGCCCTAACCCCTACAGCTGAGTCCTCAAATCTCATCCTTGATCCCTAAACCCAACTTTTCTCCCCACGCCCCACCAGGCCCCGCGCGTCTCGGCGGGCGGCGCCGCCCACGCTGTCAGGACCCAGCGTCCGAAGAGGTCGGGATGCCGTTCGTTTAGGGTTTAGGGATTAGGATTTAGGGTTTGGGGTTTAGGTTTTAGGGATTGGGGTTTGAGCTTTGGGGTTTGGGGCTTAGGGTTTGGGGTTTAGGGCGTTCATTTTAGGGTTTAGGGTTTAGGCTTTGGCGCTTGGGGTTTAGGGTTGTGATGGGTGTATCCTAAAATCAAGACTACCATTCTGAGGGTCGAATAGTAAGGATCATCGGACATTGGGGTCTATATTGTTGTGCCCCTATGATTGGAAGCTAGATATAGGGAGCTACACTGGGCTTATAAAGTGTTCAGTGTTGAGGGATGAAGGGTTTAGGATTCGGGATTGAGGGCACGGGCATTAGGGTTGGCAAGCATGAGCAAGTAAGAATAGCGCAGAATGAAAATGACAAGAGCATGGAAAATGAGAAGGGAGCTGGAGTCGTAAAGCAGTCTCGAGGATTTTGTCAGGATGTAGAGATGAATTCTTAGCAGCATCATACCTTCACGTGCCTTAAAAACCTTCAGTAGAGTGTTCCCAAGACCTTCCACCCCCCCATCCTCTTGCCAGCAAGTAGTCGCATATTTACGTACATCTATGCGCACATGTCTATGTATAGTGAAAAGCCCTAAGCCCTACATGTTTTTGCTGGGGACCATGTTGCATATTGGAGGGCATAGGATGCCTAGTACTGGGCAGAGATCATGAATGATTTTGTTTCAGGGTTAGGGGTTAGGGCTTGGGCCCCTAAACCCTAAACCCTAAACCTTAAACCGCAGGGGTACATGGGGATGACAGAAGGATAGCTGGTGGAGTAGGGACCGTGTGAGGAGACAATTCGAAAGCTCCCATGCGTCCAAAACCCTAATCCCGAAACCCTAAACCTTAGCCCTAAAGCCTAAATCCTAAACCCTGAAAGCCCTAAATCCCTTAACTTAAGCTGGCAGGAACTAAGCTAAATCTCTTAACTTAAGTTGGAAGGAATTAGGCTGGAAAGATATACATCATGTCCCTGTAGTTTTTTTGGGGGGGGAGGCGCGCCGACCGCCCGGCCACGCCGGAGCTGCCGCAAGGCCTAGCTGCGAAAGCATCTTTTCTGGTGGGTTCAGGGTTTAGGGTTTAAGGTGTAGGCTTTAGGGTTTAAGGTTTAGGGTTTAGGTTTTGAGGTTTGGGGTCTGAGGTTTAGGGTTTTATGGTTTAGGGTTGAAGGTTTGGGGTTTAAGGTTTAGGTTTTAAGTTAAGGTTTAGGGTTGGGGTCAGGGCTTAAGGTTTAGTGTTAAAGTTTTAGGGTTTTGGGCAGGGAATAAGGGAACTGGAACACATCATATGTATATATTATTCTATTCCCTTATTCCCTACTAACCACCAATCAGCTTCGGGAAGTTGACGAGGGTTTAGGATTTAGGGATTGGTGCAATGATTGGCGGTGTAGGGCTTCGAGGTGAGGATTTCGGCGTCAAGTTTTAGGGTCAGGGGGGGGGATTACAGTTTAGAGATACAACGAGCGGGGATTGAGATTTATTTCAGGTTCAGAATTTAGGGTTCAAGGCTTAGCACCTACGGTGTATCGAATTTTGTGGGTTTAGGGCTTCGGTTTTGGTCCCAGTTTGACTTGTTTTGATCGAGAGTCCCTAACAACGGGCTCCACTGGTGTTCCACCCCTGATAGTCTTCTCCTATTTTGGTCGAACCTTAAGGCCTTAGGGAGTACAACAGGAACCAGAAACGTTGCTCGTTTAGGGCTTAGACCCTCCACCAAGCGGACAGCAAGTCCCATATGAGGACTTCCCTGAATTCATTATATTAGCCAAGGACCATGAGGGAAGCTTCCCTAAATGAATCTTCTGTACCGGCCACTATGTTCTTGTTTGTTCCCCTTTTAGGAAATATCAGTTCCTCTAAACGCATATGTTGGAGCCGCCAGAAAGTTCAGTTTCCGCGCTGTTCAGAAGGGCTCGCAAGTTTAGCTAGTTTTTTGCCCTCTCTCCTCCCATAGCACCACATCAACCTCTTCATCAGTCCGTCCCTGTGTAGTAAGCTCCAAACCCTAAACTCTGGGTAGCAGATTCTTGGAAGAAAATGGAAAGCTCTGCTGTCCACACAGGCCCTCTACCCACGGAGCAGGTTGAGGAGGCCACATGGTTGAGGGTTAAGGCTAAGGCCATGATGATGGTTCACTTGTATCCGATGGTCCAGGCACCCCGATCTTGAACAACTAACTCTCAACAAGCTACGGGGTCTGGAGAACTGAATATAGCCCCAATATTTCCCCAATTATAATCCTAATATGACCCCAATATCACCGTATTTCGCGCCAGCAAGAGTTCATGGAGGGGCTTTCAGTCAAAGGGCGGTGGCGCTGGATGGGTTCAGGCAGGGGTGTAAGGCAGGAGCCTAACAAGCGACATAATTCCCTTGTAATGCTCCTAGAACTATATGCGGGTTTCCCAAAATTAGGGGTACCCTATTGGGGGTCCCTATAAAAAGGACTATAGTATATTGGGGTCTATATTGGGGTCCCATTATTTAGGGAAACTACATGAAACTACCATATAGTAGTCAGACCATACCCCCAAAGTCCTATGCTCATCAAACACATGCATTTGACTACTGTTCTGTCGCTGCTGTCAGTTCTGGCATGATGGCATGGCAGTCGTTGATGCTTGAATGAAGATTTTGAAGATGCCGTTGCACTGTCGAAAGCTTCTAAGTCACAAAGTAACTTGAGGCCCTGAAGGTATTTTTTTACAAACCAGGTGACAAGGGTCCGCTACTAACCAAAAGCAGATTTCCGACTCTTTGAAGCAGACTTTCAAAGTATTGCAATTGATATTGGCTACTTCTCCTCTCTATGTCATTAGTAGACAATGCTGGAAGTCGTGTCAAACCAGCCACTTCATGCCCAGGATATAAATGCAGGGGTTCATTGATCATAGAACGGAAAACTTTCAACACAGTTTCCCTCGATTTCTTCCGGATATGGGAATGGAGCGTGTGTAATACGGGGTCGGGGCGCGGACCCTGATCATGAGACGTGCCCGTCTCTAACAAAGGCCCGTTCAACTCCTGTGCACCAATGAGTCCCTAAACCCTATAATCCCCCTTAAGTAGATAGAATATGGCTTTGGGTTTATCACATTAAGATCCCCATATACCCCATACTCTATCTACTTAAGGGGGACTATACCCTTAACCCTAAAAACCCTAAACCCTAAGTTGTAGTTTCCATTTTCTTTGCATTATCCCTATATAACCCCTATCTACTTAACGGGGACTATAAACCCTAAACCTTAGACCACACTTCCCATTAAACCTGGAGCCTGAGAAGGGTCTGCTGAAGAAAGACAAGAGCCTACAAAGAAGCCCTTGTCAAGTTTCGTAATTTGGGTTTAGGGTTTAGGGGTTAGGGTTTAGGGGTTAGGGTTTAGGGTTTAGGGGTTAGGGTTTAGGGTTTAGGGGTTAGGGTTTAGGGGTTAGGGTTTGTAAATCCTAGCCATATGGGAAATCTGGGTTTGCTTTGAACCCACCCTTCTTGCGTTTGGAGGCGGAGCTGCCGAACTACTTCTGCATCCGAGTTGAGAAGGACTGAAGCCATGTGGTAATGGAAAAGAAAATGGAAACTATGGGGATGATAGGAGTTATATAGGGATAGATAGGGATATGGGTTGTTCTCAAAACTATGGGCCCCTTTTGGGTGTAGATTACATTACGGCACCTGACATTTAGGGGTATCAAAATGGGACCCTAATTCTGGGAACGCCCCATGCGGAGAGTGGTTAATATAGGTCCCTATATTGGTGCAATACGGCCCCTACATTAATTTGCACCAGTTTGGGAACAGCAATTTAGGCAAACCCTACATGTTT